ATATATATATATATCACCCAGGAAGAGTCCATGATTCCATAAAACCCACGATTTTTATGGTCATGCTCCGTGAGCACAAGACGGGCTTTCATAGCCATGACCACAAATAGCCCCGACATGGATTGAGAGGGTTCCTTAATTAAGAGGTATTGGGTTCTCAGGGTGGAGTGTGTCAAAAACTGCACAATGGCGACACCTACTAAGAACCCAATTCCGCAAGGGTCGGGTAATATCGTAAGGGCACCCAGCTGAGGAGTGGCAGTCGTGGACCAAGCTGGGCCCCAACGATGTCCAGCTGGAATGGATGCGCTTGAGCCTTTCGATGTATTCACAGGACTGGCTACAACTTCCGTGTTCGTAGGGTTTACCTTTTGTCTCCATTCCTTTGTGGTTTGCCAGTTCTATGCTGATTTTCAAAGCAAGGTCACCAACAAAGGAGCGACAGTGGAAACTGTAAGCAGTGTCTCCTACCAAACGGTCCGTGCTTCATTCCCTGAGCCCTCGGCCTCACCGTACATCTCAATGTAAGTCGAAAGCCCTAAATGTCAAGACGAAACACTAACCCCGAGCCTCAACCTCAAAAAGGATTTGGGAACTTGGCAAGTAGACCACAAAAAGTAGTCTAGGGTTTAGGGTTTTGGGTTTATAAGATAGACATAAGTACCCTGACTCGGAGTACCCTGCTTATAGTTCTAGTTTTCGCTGACTTAGTAAGCCCCCCCCCCCATGATTGGGTAGACACATGCTTAGTCCAGCTTCAGTGATTCCCTGCTCCGAACTTTCAGAATGAGCATGTTCCTGCAATTTCGGAACGTTGTATCGTGGAATGCTATTGGTTTTTGGGGGTTTACTGCTGGGTGACGTTTCAGTTTTTTGGGGGCCAGACAAGATGCTTGCATCCTGTTTCCCCGATGCCAAGTCCTGAACCACGGGGTGAGGGTTTAGGGTTCAGGGTNNGGTTTAGGGGTTTGGAGTTAGGGGTTAGGGTTTAAGCTGTACCGAATTACCGAAGAGGACCAGAACATGGTAAACCCTGAGCCCGCAGCTCCAAACCCTAAACCACACACCAAACCCTAATCCCTCGGACCCGAAAGAAAGGAACAAATCGTCCGGTTCGGAACAGGAGCACAACGTGCCCCTTGAGAACTTGAACGTTTGGTTGGACATCCTGGCTATCCCGCAGTGCCTCACCATCTGAGTTCTTTCAAGGGATCCCCTCCTAGTCTCCGTTGTGGTTCCCACTTGTTGGATAATCAACATTATGTGCAGGATCCTACAGTAGAAAACAGGGTAGCCATCAAACTTGGAGCTACTACGGGGGTTATAATATAGAAGCCTAAATAGTTACAAATATCATTTGTTAGGGTTCCTTTGTGTATCTATACGATAAAGGAGCCCAAAGCCCTGTTCCAACTTTGAAGAGGCTCCGACAACCTCACCTCATTTGGGTTGAGGGTTTAGGGTTACGTTTGAAGGGTTATACAATCAGTGGTGTTTTTTGCGGTGATTCAACCCAAGGGTTGAAAA